ATAAATAGCACTCACTCCTCAGTGGAAATTGTCAGGCACTACTAAGTTGAGGGTCTGTCCTTGGCCCAGAGAAGGTCAATCAAGTTGCTTTCATAGGTCTGTTTGTTGTTGTTTATTTTTTAAATGGTGAGGAGAAATATGGAGATGGAGTATTTTCTCCTTTCTGCTAACAATCCTGGAATAATCTCTCTTCAGATACTTCACCTTACCCTGACATAAAAAAATTAGGGACTAAACCCTTGGCTTACTGCTTTTTAACCAGTCAACGCTATATCCCATTTAGAGAGGCAACAGTGTAAGGTAAAACTCAGGGAAGCAAGCACCTAGTCTTTGGGTGATAAAATGAACTGAGCTTCTTAATCTATCAACAATTATTTCACTTCTTTTTGTCTTAGCGAGAAGACAGGAGAGATTTTGATAACTAGACAAAAACAGCAGCTGGAATCTATAAGTGAAAATAGTCTTCCTGTCTCCATGCAATTTTTATTAATAAATCACCCAACAAGGTATTTCATACCTTATATGAAATATAAGACAGAATGAACTGAATACTGTTTATTTAATCGGCTCATCTGATTGTGAATTATCAAATTTTACCCTTTTCTCCTTTCTTAAACCCAATTTCAACCCATGTTTCTCTCCATTCTTCTTTTTTTTGGTCTTTATTTATTTTGATGATTAATTTATTTTTTATTAAATTTATTGGGGTGACATTGGTTAATATGATCATACAGGTTTTTAGGTGTGGGTTTCTATGTTACACTATCTGTATATTGCACTGTGTGTCCACCATGCAAAGTCAGATCTTCTCCCTTCACCATATATTAGGTCCCCTTAACCACCTCCCTCCCTCTGGCAAGCCTTTATTTTTCAAAGACAGGGATCCCTGGATCTAGCAAGTAATGCTTAATTGGGTACTGAATCTTCACTTCACAAGTCATTTATTTGCAGACAGTATTTTTATTTCCATAATGAGATTTGATGCCAAAGTTATGTTTTAGGCCAGTGATGGTGAACCTATGACACCATCTGACACCTCTGACACGCGAACTCATTTTTTTGGTTGATTTTTCTTTGTTAAATGGCATTTAACTATATAAAATAAATATCAAAAATATAAATCTTTGTTTTACTATGGTTGCAAATATCAAAAAATTTCTATATGTGACACGGCACCAGAGTTAAGTTAGGGTTTTTCAAAATGCTGACAGGCCGAGCTCAAAAGGTTCGCCATCACTGTTTTAGGCTATCTTCTTAACCATTTTGGGGGGTCAAGGAATGTAAAGTAATTTTAATGCAAAGTGAAACAATGTGTACCTAAAAATGTAAATCTTTGGGGTAAGAGAAACAGCCAATTTGAAAATTAAAAAAAAAAAAGCTTTCAACTGTGATGTTTTGGAATTCCTTCTGTTCTCTCTAATCACAATTATGCCTTACTGACCTACTTCCCAAAGGCCTCTAGAAAATTCAGCAGGGAGAGGGGGTACAGGATTGATGGAACAGAATCAAAGAGGACTTAAAGTTTGTTAGCATAATAACTGAGTGACCAGGTCATGGTATGCCAACAGACTACCATTATCGTTTTATTCATTTGCTGCCTTCAAAAGTGCAACGTGATTTCTAGGCTGCTCACGAGCCGGATCCCAGCACCTACCTCCTCACAGACTGTGGAGAAGCGGTTGAGGAACTGCACAGTGTGCACCACAAACTGGTTTAGAAATGCCACCGTTCTTTTCTGTTGAATAGCCGGCACCTGCGTTATGTGAAAGAAAGCGGTGATTCGTACAGGAGGAACGTACACTGAGCAACCCCTTTGGCGTCTGCGACCAGGGGTGCTTTGCTGTGCAGTATGAGCCCCTTGACGTCCTCTGAATGGCCCTTCACTTGCTTTCCTGCCCCGTGGGGGTGGGGCGTCCCAAGAGGACGGAGGCCACCGAAAAGTTTCAGAATGGGCTCTGGATTCACAAGTACGAACTTGCCGGTGAGGACCACACAGAGAAACACACAAAAACCCTGGGGGCCGAGTACAAGAGGGAGGGTTAGAGGTCACAACCGGCTCCTGTCGCCAGTGCGTCACCCTAGAGCAGGCAGACTCGTGACACGGGAAGCGAAGGCTGGGAGAGGCACGCTAACCCCTTAAGCAGCTCGGGAGGGACCCCGTTCGAAGGTGGACAGTGGGACTCTGCC